CAAGACCAGGATCGTGGGCCCGATCGAAGACGTGGGCAAGACCGAGTACAGACTCGAAGACGCGATCGTGAACCTGTTCTCGATCCAGACCAAGACCAGCGGCTACACCCAGCACAGGACGGTGCTGTTCCGCATCAACAAGGACCGAGTCGGGTTCGGAGACTCGAGCGCGACCCTCACCGACACCTCGTAGCCAACTCTGACCGAGACCAGGATTGGGAACGAGACCATGCCGAAAATCAAGTTTTCGACCGTGCACAGCACCGTGTACGCCTACTTGCACCCCTTGTTCACCTGGAGCACGAACCACAGACGCCCTCGGTCCTGGCCTCAGTCATGATGTCGGACAAGTACACGACTCTGTCCCCGTACCTATCGTCGAACCTCACCATGCCCCTGAGCGTGGATAGGTTCGGGTAGTCGTCCCTGGTTGCGGGCAGGTTCTCGGACACGCACATCATCCCCCTCTCGATCTTGGAGCAGAACTGAGGCACGAACTCGTACTTCCTGTCGCACTTGCTGCAGACCTTCAGGCTCATCGTGCACATGTTGGTGTGGTAGGTCGTGCTCTACTTCTTGGCGGGTGACTTCGTACGGCCGTGGGTGATGTACTGCACAGCCTCGTTCGAGCCCTTCAACATGACGCAGATCGTGACCGGGTCCGACGCCAACTCCCTGTACAACCTCTTGTGCGTAGACTTGATCAGGGACTACGTCATGGACACCGTCGCGCCCGTAGACGTGGTCAACTTCATGATCGGGACCGGGATCAGGTTCACGAGCCAGGACATGAAGAGGTACGCGTCGCTGGTCAAGTACATCATCCCGAACAGGCGCTGGTTGAAGTCCAAGATCAGGGACGGGTACGAGTTCATCCTCGTGTCCAAGAACCTCACCGCGTTCATCAACACGAACGGGTACGACCTCAGGAGGAGGATCTCGTTCAGCTCTCGGGGCCCATCGCCTTGCAGGATAAACTCGGATGTGGTCTTGATTGCGATGAAGGACAGCAACTTCGTGAGGTGCACGAACGACTTCATGGACGGGTCTGGAGCCGAGGTCTTGGACACACCCACGCACTGGCCTTCGACCATGAAGTTTGGCGGGATCGAGGCCAACGTCATGACCGTGACCATGGACCAGCTGAGAGTCGCGTTGTGGTGCGTAGACGAGGACAAGCCCGTGGACATGCCCTTGATCATGGACGCGAACATGATCATCTCGTCGAAGCTGAACGCGAAGGTACACATGACCAAGGTCCAGTACATGTACCTGAACACGGACGAGAACAACCTCATCCACACGAGCTTGTGCAGGGTGAGGTCCGAAAGCGAGGTCATGACCACAGCCAAGACGCAGTGCGTGCTCGCGACCCCGGGTCTCGGCGAGGACTCCGCTGCGTACAGGGCCCACGTCCTGATCAAGTAGGTGCTCGGGACCGAGACTAGGTACGGGACCAAGTTCATGAGCGGGTTCAAAACCGTGCTGCTGCTCAGGCACAGCTAGCTGAACAAGTACCTGTACTCGATCGTGACCGGGACCATGTGCAAGAGGCTGGTCGAGGCTTGCCCCATGTGCAAGAAGCGAGTCGCGACCCTCAACGTGTGCTCGGAGTACGACCAGAAGAAGACGCCGAACATGTTCAGCAGCGGGTGGTTCTACGAGCACGCCAGGAGGAGCAGGGTTACGAACACCATCAAGTTCAAGTTTTGCGTCAAGTGCGCGCCCAAGAACACCATCATCACCCAGCCCCTCTGCGACGAACACTACAAGAGGAACATGTCCACGTGTCTGACCGCCGTCAGGGAGTCATACGTGGGCACCATCGAGATCAGGAATAGGATGCCGATCAGGACCGAGGGCAGCATCGGGGTGGTGTTCCTGGACTAGATCATGAACGACCTCATCTGTCTCATCGTGAGCAGGAACTGGCGCGGGTCCGTCTCGAAGGACCTTCTCACGATCGAAAACGTGGCCGAGACCAGCAACTCGATGTCAGTCGGAGACCCGCAGATCTGCATGGATCCGTTCCCGAACAACCTCAGGCACGTGGACCTGTTCGTACTCGCCCTGGGCTGCACCTTCAGCTTCGTGGACTCGTCCAGCCTCAGGGACGCGGTCACACCCAGCGACGACTGCATGGTCTTGGCGTAGGTCGCAACCAGGGTCACAGTCTCGGCCGTCATGGCGAAGTGGATCAAGTTGCCGCCCTTGATCTGGGTGCTGAACGCGAACAAGCTCGAGCTCATGTTGCAGCTCACGCACACGGAGTCGGTGTAACCCCCGTCGTCAGCCGCGGCCCTGGACAAGATCCAGCCGGCCCACCTGCCCCTGAGCTCGTTGCCCATCCTCGCCGAGGTCGCGGTGGTAGTCATGGACATGGCGTCGATCACCTCTAGCTCCCCCTCGTAGGTCCTGAGCGCAGTCTCGCAGTCGGTGCTGTTCCCCCTCATGATGAAGCTCGACGCCACGGGCTCGATCGTCCACAGGGTGCCGACCACGTCCGGGCACTCCCACCTGATCAGGGGCATGAACTTTCTTTCGTGCCCGTCCACGTGAGCATCGTGGCCCAAGCCCGTCCTGAACTTGCCGACGACCAGGTACGTGAACATGTCCATGCACGGAATGCCCCTCTGCCTGAAGGCCATGGACAGGAGCTCGGACGCGGCTATGGGCGGCAACTCGGACTCGAACTGCCTCCTGATGTTGTTCGTGAGCTCAATAGCGTTCGTCTTCCTGTCCCTCTCCTGCTGCGCGCGCCCGACCACGGCCTTGGGCCTGTTCGCGTTCACGTTGGTCTCGTCGTAGTTCCATGCGGAGTACATCCTGCTCGGGTTCTCGGTCGTAGACGCGCTCCTGGTCCAGGTCACGAGTGTGAGCACAACGCGTTTCAACTGCGCTGCGAGACTCGATGTCGAACTCCAACCCGTGCACGCCCACGATGCCGACCGTGGTGAAGACCACGTGCTGGACGGACAGCTCGAGTTTGATGACGAAGATGAAGTGGTTCAAGAACAAGGTGAGCAACTCGTACGGGAGTGGGAAGAAGCAGTGGAGCATGGAGCTGGACGAGCTCTTGACTACGGAGCTCAACAAGATGAAGGACATAAGCCTCGACTGCCACCACAGGCCGAGTAGGACGAGGAACAGGTTCGCGTACGAGAGGGTGCCTAGCGACTGGACCAAGATCCCGACCCTCGTCGAGGACATGAACGTGGCTCTGAACGCGCCCCAGAACTGGTACACGAGCCTGAGGCACAACCCGGTCCTAGCCGTGTTCATGTCCAACGTCTCGACCATGATCGAGGTGGCGATGAGGCTCAAGACCAGGCCCAACATCCAGCACGTGATCGTGTGCGACTGCGTGATGTCGGTCAAGCACATGCTCCTGATCATGGTCGTGTTCCAGCTTCTGTTCAAGGACGAGAATGAGAACGACAGCGTCTTCATGCACCTGTGCGTGGACGAGAACCAGGAGAAGATCGCGAGGAGGAGCCCGCTCAAGAACAAGCACGTGGTCATGCACAGGGACATGGCGTGGTACGCGGCCTTGGGTTTGGTCGAGACCAGGTACAGGAGTGTGTCCGTCACCATGATGATGAACGAGGAGATGTCCATGGACAACATCGAGAGCTTGTTCTCGACCGAGGACGTGTTCGTGTCCTTGACCAGCAGCATGGACAAGATCAACTACTCGAACGCGCTCATGGACTTGGTCAGGAGCAGAAGCATGGTGAGGGAGCTGGTCCCGGGCTCGAACCCAGACACGAACACGGTCAGGATCTCGGACGCAATCGTGAACCACAACGTGTCCGAAGGCAGGCTCGTGTACAGAGCCAGGAACGCGTACTCGATCATGCCCACCAACACGTGCACGAACATGATCAGACCCATGAACCTGGACGGGATGTGCTTCGACTGCAGGATCGTGTACATGGTGGCGAACGACATCGTGCTGAAGACCTGCGGCCAGAACAAGGACCAGCCCGAGTACGCCGGCGAGGAGTGGAGCCGGAGCTTCGCTAGGACCATCACCAAGGACGTGTACGAGTACCTGATCGCAGAGTAGACCATGTCCATCTCCAACAACGTCATCGCGTCCCTCAAGGCGGTCTCGAATGTGCCTGTGTTCGTGGGCCAGAGGGAGTCTGTGAACGACGAGTCGATTCTGATCAGCTCCGTGAAGTTGAACGAGCTCACGGCTATGTACAGCGACCTGTACGCGTTCACGTACTCGACCTGGCGCCACCTCCCGGACGCCCCCGACTGCGAGAGGACGTTCGTGATCATGTGGATGATCTCGGCCGAGAACTACGACATCAACCACTTCACCATCAAGTGGCCGGAGGCGAGCTCGAACACGTTCGTGCACCTGTGGTCAATCGTCGACAGGCTCAGGACCTTGCTCGAGTCCAACAACGCGGACTGGCTCGTGGGCGCGAGGAACCCCGTGGGCTACTCCGAGACCATGAACATGCCCGGAGCCGCGGACCAGCACTTGTACCCGAGTGAGAGCATAATCGCGCCTCACGTCGAGGTTTTCAGCTCGAACATGGCCAGGATGCAGCCCAAGACCATAAAGAGGAGCTACGACTCGAACTTCTTCTTCACCTTGTCCTTGACCATGTCCAGGCCCAAGCGCGTAATCGACCCCAGCCAGATGGCCATGCGCAACGACGAAATGCTGTCGGCGGCTGCGAACAGGAACAGGAAGTAGGTCGAGGACTAAAACCCGGACGCGCCGGAGATGATCTCCCTGCCCCTGTGCAGGTTCTTGCCGTCGAACATCTCCGTGTCCTTGAGGGTCCGCGACATGGCAAGGATGGAGTCGTCCTCGCTCGCGCCGTCGAGCCTGTACCTGACGTAGGTCTTGAGCGCACTCATCTTCAGGTACTTGCAGAAGTTCTCGTGCCCGGTCGGACTCATGGACACCTTGGCGGTGCTGACGATGGAGAAGGTCGGGCCGTTGGGCGTCTTCCTGATCACGGGCGAGAGCATCTGCGGTATCAGCTGCGAGATCGGGTGCACCATCGCCTCCGGGACCAACTTCGCGCCCTGGAACACAGACTGAATAACGGACATGCACTCCGCCCCGTCCGGGTGCTGGGACAAGTCGAACCAGTCCCTCGCGGTCGACTCTGGGAGGCTGTTCGAGTTGCTCCTCGAGAAGGAGGTCGCCATGAAGTTCGAGCTGCTGGCCTGGACCGCGGGCAGGTCCGAGGACTTGATCTTGTTGTAGAGCAGCTCCACGATGTTGGAGTAGGTCCTCATTATGACGATGCCGTCGATCACGTGTCCGACCTCGCCTCTGAACTGTATGTACTTGTTGATGCAGGCGTGCATCAGAGACGCGAAGCACACGCCCCACACCTCCGCCTTGTTGCTGTAGCCCCTGTTCGAGAGTGCGGACCTGGACTTGTTGCCGCCTGAGCCTAAGAACACGCTCGGGCTCATGACCTTGGTCATATAGCTGCTCGTGGTCCTGTCCGGGTTCGGGCGCTCGGCCTCGCTCCTGGTCCTACTCACGTTGGTGAACGACTCCGTGTCGTCGTCCTGGGCCACGGACACCTCCGAGTCTCTCGACCTGAAGATAGGCGAGGCGGTGTGCCTGTGCGCGTCTGGGTTGGGCATCGCGAAGGCGTCTCTAGTCTTGGACTTGTGCGAACTCGCCTTCACGACCTTCATCTCGGACTCGAGTCTATCCATACGCTTCATCATGGTCTCCATCATCATCTTCATCGCGCGCACGTTCTCGGCCATCTCCGTGTTCCTGTCCGTGTTGTCGAGCTGCACCTCAGCCCCATCCCCGTGTATGCTCACGTCCGAGTCGTCGTCCTCCACCTTGAGGCCGATCAGGCCGTCGATCACGTTGTTGTCCGACATGGTGCCGGTGTACCAGATCAACGCGTGACGATGCACCGACTCGTTGCAGACCGGCACGCAGTAGTCGACCATGATCCTGATCCGGACGAGGGGCACGGAGTCGTTATGGCTGTGCTTTGCACAAACACCAACGCACTGTAGATGTACGCGGTCCCGTGCGTGGCCGACAACAAGATCCACCTCGAACTGGATGATGAGCGAGAACAGCAGCAAGAGTAGCAAGAAGAGCAAGAATAGGCCCGCAAGCGACCCCAGCTCCGAGTGCAGGTACAGGTCTAGGCCCAAGCCCAGGGTCAGGGCCTTGTCCAGGGGCCCGATCGTGAACCTGAATGAGTCCACGAATAGGACCCCGTTCGAGTTCGTGCACTGCTCCCAGCCCGGGTGCGGCAACTCCTCCGCGTTCTCGCAGTACAACAGCATGACACTCAGGGCCGGGTTCAACACCTGCGTAGCGCACACGAGCCTGGAGATGATCAGGAATAGGACCGAGAACTTGATCATGAATGAGAACACAGTCTTCATCTTCTACGACATCGAGGTCACGTCCAGCATGGAAATCGAACAGTTGTCCGCGTGCGCGTCCGACGGCCAGCACTTCACCACGACCATCAGGACGTCCACGAGGAGGAACAACAGCCCCGTCCTGAGCAAGTTCACGCCCATGGTCTACTCCATGCTCGCGGTCGACCCCACGGCGGCCTTTGACAACTTCATCGTGTGGGTGAACAGGATCATGAACCAGCACAGCAACGGCACTGCTACCCACTCCGACGTCGTGCTCGTCGCCCACAACGGCATGTGCCACGACCACGTGATCCTGTTCAGGGCCATGATGATGTGGGGCATCACCCCGCCGTTGTGGAGGTTGTCCGACTCGTTGCCCATCTTCAAGCTCGTGGTGAGGCCGAACCCGAACCAGTCTTCAACCTTGTCCCAGCTCGCGCACGAGTACGTGCCCTGGTTCGTCCACGTGCAGCACGACGCACTCAGCGACTCGAACGCCCTGAGGCACGTGGTCATGTCCGCAGTCCCGAACTGGCGCTTGGCCTGCTACTCGTTCAGCTCCTCGTTCGAGTACTTCTCCAAGTCTGTGGGCTTCAACACGTACAGGGTCAGGCCCTCGCTCCCGTTCCCGGACAGCCCCTAGCCCGTCGTCGAGTCCGTGCCCACGTGCAGCCCCGTGTACAAAACCCCGTCCGCAGTTTTGATCGTGTCTGCGCACCTGACCAACGGCATGTACATGCTCGGAGTCGCCTACTCGTCCGAAGCCGCGGTGTCGAAGAAGGTCACGATCCTGTCGTCCTCAGCCAAGGACCCGTCCCTGATCGTGTGGCCGACCTCGTTCATAATCTCCTTCGTGAACGGGCGCATCATGTCGATGATGGCCTCCATCGACTCCTTGGTCGGCTTCCCGCCGCTGGTCTCCTTCATGTACCTCATCAGGGCCACGATCAGGATCTCGCGCATGTCCAGGTCCTCGCCCTCGTCCACGAACAAGGTCGTGGTCATGGCCTCGATCCCGTCGTCGTCTAAGTCGCCACTGCCGTTCAGGGCCTCAATCGCGCTCATCATCATGTTCGAGGCTGTGTCCCGCAACGCCTGCATGGCTTGGATCGACTCCTGGCTCGTGGACCCGATCGTGTTGGGGTTCCCGCCCCTGTTCGACATCACGTTCGAGGCCTGGTTCTGGGCCACGTTCGGGTTGGCGAAGATGTTCCCGCTCGTCGGTGGGTTCCTGCTCTGAGCCACGCCGCTGTCCCTGTCCGCACTCATCTGCACGTACACGGCGTCCCTCATCGTCGTGCCGTCGTACCTCCTCATGAGCGGGGCCGAGGGCTGGATCTCGTTCTCGATGGCGCCCACCACCCCCTCGAAGATCGTGGGCAAGGCAGCGGCCACGGCCACGGCGTTCTCCATCTCCTTGATCATCTCCGGCCTCGACTTCTTGTACGCGTCCATGACCTCGAGTAACTCCTCGTCGTCGTAAGACGTCCTGTCGACGAGGGTGTCGATCTTCTCCTCGATCCTGTCCTCCCTCTTCTCCCTGGCCCTGAACGACTCCAAGATCTCGTCCAACCTGCCGATCATATTCTCGACCATAATCACCTGCTGGGTCTTGTTCTTGCCCGCGGGGTCGGTCATCTGCACGAGCATGGAGTTGCGCCCGGAGTAGATCTGAGAGCCGTCCGGGGGCTGGGTCCTGCGCGCGTCGTTGCCCGACTCGTCCTGCCCCTTGCCGAAGATGCCGCCGGTCGCAGGCGCGTTCTGGTTCCTGCCCGTGGCGCTGCCCATGTTCGAGCCCGGGGGTGCGTTCTCGGGCATGTTCGAGGTCAGGGCTCCGGCTGGCATCGCGTTCGCGTTCATGGCCGAGGGCGCGCCCATGCTCGCGTTGTTGAACAAGTTCTTGGCCATGGTCGAGAAGTAGTCGAAGAGCTCTTCAGCCGTGTGGTCGATGAGGGCCCTCGTTAGAGGCCCGATGGTCTTCTCGTTCATGAACTGCAACAGGGTGCTCTTCGGGTACATCTTCCAGTCGTACGACGAGGTGCTGTCCAGGGTCGGCTGCCAGTTCACGATCGAGGCTGTGTCCAACTCCATGGTCGTGATCGAGTGCGGAATCGGAGAGGAGATGGTGTACTTCTGCACGTTCATGTACGAGATGGCGGCGGGGTTCGTGATCCCGATGTAGGTCACCATCTCGGCCGTGCCTCTGTACGAGCTGAAGGTCCTCCTCACGGTGTCGGCCGCGAAGGCGCCCATGGCCATGATGGTCATCTTGAAGTCGAACTGGTTGTGGATCTTGATCATCTCGCCGAGCCACTCCGAGAAGAAGGACGCGCACGTGATCCTCTTCGCCATCGTGTTCACGGAGATGGGCACGCAGTTGGTGAAGGCCACCCCCACAGTCGAGCACAGGTACGAGCACCTCAACAGCATGGCGAACTTGGACATGAGCATGTGCTCGGTCACGTCCCCGAGGGAGTCCTTGTGCTTCTTCTTGTACTTGGCTCTGTCCTTGATGCTGGCCCCGACCGCAGCCATGGCCTGGGACAAGATCTGCACCGAGGGCGTGGCTCCGATGCACGTCATAGGCGAGTACGCGAGTGCGGACGCGATGGCAGGCAAGATGTTCTGCTCGTACGGATACAAGCCCACGTTCATAACCTTGATCGGGACGTTGTACGCGACCATCATCAGGCCCCTGACCGCACACACGAACCTGTCGTCCTCCCCGAACGCCTCCAACTTCCTGACCATCTCCATCGTCACGTCCATGCACATGTACCTCATCTGGGCCGAGACCGTAGTCACGATCGACGTGTCGACCCTGTCCCTGACCCTGGACGGGATCTTGGAGATGCCCCTGTTCCTGTCCAAGGCCATGATCCCGCCGCTGTGTAGGTTTTGATCATGATGGTGCCGAGCGTTCGCGTACCAGTTCCCGACCCAGGACACGAGGGTATACTCGGGCGCGTCCGGGGAGTGGGCCGTCGTCGTGTGCGCGGTGGCGTTCGCGGTGTTGGTGGTAGTCACAGTCTTCTACGGGGCCCAGTTCATGTCCGTCCAGCAGTCGTCGTCCTTGGGCCACGTGGCGTCCTCGGGTCCGATCTTGAGCGGCACCCTGTGCATGCTCCTGCACAGCGCCACGGTCTCGTTCGAACTCAAGAACACAATCTCGTCCTTCGTCTCGTTCGAGGGTACAACCACAACCTCGCCCAAAATCTGGTCCATCATCTCGTACGGCACCCCGCTCGCGAACCAAGCCGTGCTCATGTCCAGCGCCGCGATGCTTCTCTTGGACTCGTGCGAGCACCTGTTGTGAACCAGGTCGCAGTACGAAGACACCATCAAGGCAGTCATCGTGCCCAGGTTCGGGTTCGTGAACATGTTGAGGAACTTGCCCAAGGCGAACTCGGTCCTCGTGGCCGCCCTCGCGGTCGTGCAGCTGGGGCACACCACCACCAGGACGTCGTTGTCGTGCATGATGTTGGTGATGGTCGAGACCTTCGTCGACGCCTTGGTCGTCTTGCCGTTGTTCTTCATGATCCACTCCTTGACCCTCTTCCAGGACCTGCTCCTGGTGTTGGTCTCGGTCAGCGGCTCGTTCTGGCTCATGTCGGTGCTCTGCACCACATCGTGGCTCGTACCTGGTCAGGACCTGGTCGAGTACCTGCCGAGCGTCCCGGCCGAGTTTTTGACCTTGTGCCACGCCTCGAACGCCATCGTGTCCCTCAACTCGTGCTCGATCAGGTCCTAGTGCAAGTGCGCCTACATGAAGCTCACGTTGTCGTCGCTCTTGACCGAGGGCACGGCCTGGGACCCGCTGCCGAAGAGGTTCTTGCCCGCGCCCGTACCCGTGTTCGGCCTCGCGAAGATGCCCATGCCTGTGCCGCCGGCCGCGGACCCGCTCATGGACTTGGCGTTCTGGATGAACCTCTTCGGGATCATCATGCCAGTCGCGCCCTGCTGCGGGGGTCCGTGGTAGTCCACGACCGAGACGCCGAACGCGTTGTGGAGCTTGATGCTGAGCCCGTGCGTGCTCTTGTCCGGGACCTGCCTGTCGCCCTCCGACTTGGACGGGCACGTGATCGAGATCGCCACCGTAGCCAGGGACAAGGACGACTTGCCGCCCAACATCCTCATCACGTCGCTCAGGTTGCTCGTCTTCCTGAACTGGCCGTCCCCATCCATGTACGAGAACGTGGCCGCGAACGAGGACACGCCCCAGGATGCGTTCGTCCAGTAGTAGCCGGGTGTCTGCACGATCTGGCCCATGACGCCGGGGTAGTTCTCGCTCAAGGAGTTGAACAGGGGCCCGAAGGCGAGCTTGGGCAGGCCGATGCGCGCGAAGTTGACGCCGATCCTGCGGTTGTTCTGGGTGGCGGACCCGACCCTGTGCTGCTTCATGAACACATCCGGGGCCACGCCCTCGATCACGACCCACTCCGAGGTCCACTGGTTGAGCATCCAGTCGCCCCCGATCCCGGCCACGACCGCATCCGAGTAGTGCCTCGCGCCGCCGGTCACGTCGTACTTGTAGGGCCCGACCCCGATGCAGTACGCGGACGTGTCCAGGGCCGAGACGTAGCCCTCCTCCGTGGGCACGATCGTACCGTTGTCGTCCCTCGCGACGTACTTCATCTCCCTGTCCATGACGCTCCTCCTGCTGTCGGTCACGTCGTTGATCGGGAGCTTGGTTGTGACCATCTTCTCGATGAAGGCCTTCTGCTCCTCGCTCCAGTCGGGCTCGCTCTGCTCCGCGCCCACGTTCCTGCCGGCGATCATCATCCCGCCCTCCTGCATCTTGATGGTCCCCTTCTCGTACGCGCCCTTGGTCTTGACCTCAGACGCCTTCGTGGAGTCGAACAAGTTCATCCTCTCCATCTTGTCCATGACCACCTTCCCGCCGCTGGCCTCGTTCTTCTGCTTCATCTTGTCCAGGGCCGACGTCTTGGGCTTGGCCGGGGTCTGGGTCGTGGACGGGGTCTCGGTCTCGTTCTCGGTGCTGGGCGCGTTCTCGGTCTCGGTCGCGGTTGGCGTCTCGGGCGGCTGCGTGTTGCTGCTCGCGGGGCCGATCGGGCTGCCGTTCTTGACGCCGTTCCTGCTGCTGTCCTTGTTCTTGTTGTCGCTCATGATTGCGTTCGAGAGGGTGTTCCTGTTCGAGTTCGAGGTCGAGTTCGGCGCTGCGGCGTGAGTGCCAAGATCACATCGTAGGCGTCATTCGCGGTCTTGGGCGTGCGCACGCACTGGATTTTGAACATCATCGTGGTCTAGATCGGGCGCACGATTGTCTTGAGGGTCTCGAAGTCGTAGTACTCCCTGCCCCTGTTCCTCTCCACGTAGTTCTCCCCGAACTTGGTCAGGAGCTTCCTCTCGTACCTCAAGCCGAATATGAACGGGACCCCGTACGTGGGGACGCACACGAGCCTGTTCGACATCGCGGCGAAGCACTGGACCAGCCGCTCCATCGTAACCCCGATCCTCGTCGCGATGATAGCCGTGGACACGATGCAGTGGTGGGGCGGGGACGTGCTGTCGATGGTGACTCCGGCCGTGACGAAGTTGACGCTCCTCCTGAAGACTGTGTACAGGGCGATCTCCAGGGACATGGGCGCCCTCTCGTACAAGCTCGAGACCGAGAGGCATGCAGAGATGAACTGCAACTTGACGTAGTCGTTGACCGCCTGCGCGGGGAACGGCTTGAGCTTGCCCAACTCCTTGTCCATCTTGTAGATCACGACCCGCCTGCCGATGCTGTTGTTGATGGCGGACTTGACCGCGAACCCCATCTTGTTGCTGATGCCGATGATGGTCTGGGATAGGTGCGCAGACATGCCCGCGGACTGCACCGGGGCGTTGGACGTCCACCTCTTGATGCTGTTGTAGTTCATGTCGTCTTCGATCCCGCACTCGTCGCAGATGATGACCCTCTTCTCGGCCAGCTTCATAACGGTGGTCGCATCCGGCCATTTGCTCGCCTTCCCGATCAGGTCCGTGACCGTCCACTCGACCCCCTTGCCCAGTACGCGGCTGATGTTGGTGGCCAGCACGCTCTTGCCCTCCTCGCCGCTCGCACCGTAGAAGATGATCACGCACGGGTTCTTGACCGGGTCCGTCAGTGCGTTGCCGATGCGCCACATGAAGTCGAGCTTCTGGTCGTCCCTCAACGGGAGCAGGATCTGGTTGAGCACGTCACCTTCTAGGTCAACGACCATCCTCTTCGGCAGCCTGAACGGGAAGGACATGACTGTGGGCGACGTGACGAACATGTACATCCTCCTGTATTCGTCTCCTCTCGGGTTGTCGATCACGGTTGGGTGTGGGGAGAAGGACACGATCGGGCCGTCGTCCATGTACGTGACGTTGAAGGTGAACCTGTACGTGCCTATGCACACACTTCTGACCAGGCCCTCGACTGGGAACGCCATCCTGGCTAGCAACGGGTAGAACCTCTGGAGCGCCACCGCGTAGTTGACCGGGGCGTTGATCCCAGTGACATCCGCAATCTCGTGCGCGGCTGTAGGCGACTCCATCTGCGCCCACGCGGCGACGCTCCTGCAGTAGACGTAGTACGTGATGTCCCTCACGGCTACGGACCTACGCGTCATCGCCCACTCGACCAGGTTCTTGTCCTCGTTCGAGAGCTCCATGTAGGCCGGACCCGAGCACGGGAAGTCGTCCATGAACCACTCGTTGCCGCCCTCCCTGTGCAGCTCCAAGATCACGGTCTCGTCCTCATCCTCATCCGCGGTCACGGACACGGCCGTCTCGCTGTCCCCGATCGAGCTCATGACTGCGGTGTGCAGGGTCAACGTGTTTTCACCGTACCCGAGCTCGCGATGGAAGTCTCGGTCCTGGACCTGTTCCCGAACGGGGGTCTGAAGACGAACGCGTACCCATTCAGCGACCTGAACGTGCACGTAGCGAAGGGCAAGGTGACGACCTCTGTCGTGGACCAGCTCATGGACGCGGGGTGGACCATCATGGCGACCTGGATCGAGGACGAGGCCAGGAGCACGGTCTTAGACGACTACATAACCGACGTCTCGATCAGGTTCGGGATGGACGACGAGCGCATCATCTTGGTGGCGGACTTGCCCCTGGCCATGGCTATGGACGTCGTGGCGAACATAGACGCGGACATCCCCGGGGACAACCCCATGATCATCACCGGCATGAAGAACTCGATCTCGAAGCTGAGGGCGGCCAGCATCTCGGGCTACGGGCCGTACGCGACCAGGGGCGTGGGGTTGAAGAAGCCGGCGAACGTGCCCAAGCTGTCGATCATCGGCCTGGACATCGAGGTGTCCACCATCGTGCGCGGGGACGGGATGCCACTCCCGCATGACCCCCTGATCAGCATCTCGATCAGCAACGGAGGCTGGTACGACAAGGAGTTCGTGGACAAGTGCTACCTCATCTACACCTTCGGGTTCCACACCGAGACCGAGTGGGAGAACGGGAGGCACCCTACCATCGTGAAGGTGGACACGGACGAGGACGCGGTCAGGACTGCGTACGAGATCTTGGACATGCTCAGCCCCGACTTCGTGTCCATCCACAACGGCTTCAACTTCGACCTGAGGAGCATCGGGTGTAAGGCCGCCACTGAGCCCACGATCGAGCACACCATCGAGGAGAGGAGGCTGGGCAACGTCGGAGTCGGCGTCTTCTGGTCGCTCACGAACGGCAGCATGATCATAGACACGATGTACACCGCGGACAAGGTCTCGAGGTCGGACTGGGACTCCTTCGCACTCGACAAGATGTGCAGGAGGTTCGACTTGCCCCCGAAGTTGGATAGCGGCACGATGAGGATCACCATCTCGGACGAGGCCGACCTCACGAAGATCCTCGTGTACAACGCCAGGGACTCGGATATGCACGCGTGGTTGGCCAAGAACGGCAAGATGTGCGAGCGCATCGCCCTGTTGGCGGGTACGTCCAGGAGCACGTTGTGGGACTCGGTCGCGAACAACACCGGGGTGATGACCTTCTGCCTGATGCAGTCCGTGGCCTTGTCCAACGGCGAGATGCTGGACTTGGGCAGGAACACGATGAACTTGGAGGACCAGAAGTTCGAGGGCGGCTACGTCGTGGCCCCGAGGCCGGGCTGCTACAAGGGCGTGATCATGATCGACGGCAACTCCTTGTACGGGTCTCTGATGTCGAAGTTGCAGATCTTCATCGACAGGTGCGCGTCTGCGAAGAACCCCACGGCCCTGCAGGCGAAGGTGGACCCGGCGTTGCCCGAGTCGGCCCACACGATGGTGGTCGGGGACGTGGTCTGGAACGAGCACGTGATCGTGATGAGGACGAAGAGGTCGTACATCGCCGTGGTCCAGGGCGGGCCCACGATGCTGAGCGAGATCATAGAGAACCTCATCTCCCTGAGGGCGAGCGCGAAGAAGAACAGGGACGACGTCACGGCGTGGGCCTTCAAGGTGCTCCTGGTCAGCATCTACGGCGCGATGGGGAGCAAGCACGGGATCCTAGCCTCGGAGACGTGCGCAGAGGCGACCACGTGCGCGGCCAGGTACTTCCTCAGGAACATGATCGGAGTCACGGAGGGGGAGGGGAACAAAGTCATCTACGGGGACACGGACTCGATCTTCGCCTGGGTTAAGGGCGTGACTGAGAGCGACTGCATGGACGAGGCCGAGAGGCTGAAGAAGGCCATCGACACGAGCATGGTCGGGACCCCATTCGAGCAGATCGGCGCGGACATCAAGGGGAACTACAAGATGATCTTGATCACGGCCAGGAAGAAGTACACGGTCGTGGACTGGAAGGACGAGATGGAGACGAAGGGGATGACACCCGTAAAGAAGGACACACTCCCGATCGCGAGGTACGCCGCGAGCAAGGTGCTGAGCATGGTCATGTCCGACAACGACTACTCGAAGACGAGGACGACCGTCACCCTGTTCTTGGGCAAGCTCTTCACCGCACTCCAGAACGACGACCTGCCCGCGCACACGCAGGTGACCGAGACCAAGATCAACTGCCAGCCCCACTACAAGTACAGGGCCACGAACGGGGAGAGGGTCAGCGTCCTGGTCGACACGGGGCTCAACTCCGTGGAGGTGCACAAGGGCTGGGTCATGGAGAGGATCACCGGCGCGGTCAAGACCATCCTCGAGGCCGCGGATATGGGCACGGTCAGAGGGCTGATGTTCTCCTACAACGCGATCGTGAAGCAGAAGGCGGTCAAGAGCAGGAACAAGACCCCAGCCGCGGACAGCGTCTAGTTTTCGGACGTGCTCAAAATCAACCACAGCGCCGTCTACGTGGTCAGCAACGTGGCGCCGGTCAGAAGCGCGTCCTGTACACCGACTCGCCCTCGTACGTGGACTTGGTCGGGGTCGTAACCGGGCTGAGGCTCATGTTCGTGCCCTCGAACGTGCGCGCGATCATGTCTAGGTCCTTGCCCATGATGGCGCAGCTGTTGTGGTCCTGGTACTCGTCTTGGTCACTAGACTCGATCGGCCTCGGGCTGGCGTCGAAGAACAGGTCCTCGGAGTCGGTGTCGTATTCGTCGCTGGTGTAGGTGAGGGACGGGGTCCTCGTCCTGGTCCTGTTCGTGGCCTGGTTCGTGCGCGTGACCACAGTCTCGGACATGGTCTCGTTCGAATTCGTGAACAGGCTGACGTCCACGTCCCTGCATGTGAGGCAGAACGCGTGGATATCCCCGCCCTTCGACTGGTGCACCACCACGCCCACGACCGGGTCGTAGTACCCGTGCACCTCCTTGTACCCGCACGTGCAGCACCTCCAGCCCGCCGTCAGGGCCTTGCACCCCTTGTTGCAGAACCTCGCGCCCATGGACACTCTCGTGGGCTTGTTCCTCTTCTCGACCGGGGCCTCGTGGAAGCACAGGGCGTTGTCCCTGACTGTGTCGGAGTGCTCGCCGCAGTTCCTGTACCTGATCGTCTCCGAGTGGCCGCAGCCGTTCGTGACCGTGTACATCGTGCAGACCATGACTGTCAACGCGGGTGTGGTCGTGGTCTCAGCGGTGGTCGCGCTCACGGTTGTGTGCTGTTCGAATCAAGATCTGCTGCTGGAGGCGGACTGGCTTTTGGACCTGATGGCGGCCGCGGACTAGACCAGGAACCGGATCTCGCGCAGGTCCGTGCTGCACTGCGACAGCTCCCTCGGCTCGGACACCCCGACCGCCACGGTGTGCCTCTCCTCCTGCCTCAGCGGGTTGGCGGTCATGATCATGCAGCTGTACACGTCCTGGACCTTGGCTGCGTCCTTGTTTATGGACACGATCGTGGTCATGCACGTCTCGTCGAGCACGTCTATGAGGCGGGACGGGAGCCAGCTCGTGAGCTCGAGTGAGAACGGGCCCACGTCCATGTGCATGATCTCGATCGTGTCCATAAACAAGGACGCAGCCAAGGTCCAGGACGTGTACAGCTGCATGATCATGACCG